CATGGGGACTTTTTTTTGGACTTGTGAGGACTTTTTGGGACTTGTGAGGACTTGTGATGGACTACACAGATGTGACTAACGAGGATTCAAGACCAAATTACTTTTGTAATGCTGCACCAACTTAGCATTGCATGTACATGTACTGGTATTTCCCAAATTTGGACTTTATATGTTAAGCTGGTTGTTTTCTTGAAAAACCAAAATCCACTTCATTGTGGTGTGTGAATTAGCAAACATGGAAGAATCGCAGAAACTTCTGTAATCTTTGTATAAACCAGATTTTCTTTAATCAAACTTCTGTACTCTTATAAGAATTTTTCTATCATTAAAAGCTGATGTTCTCCAACACTACAGAATATGCAATCCTACCACTGCCGACCCAGATCTTAGTATGTTGCATGTGATATTATTCACTGTATAATGTCATTTTGTGAATTTTTTTCTAAAGTTTTTACACACTTGTGCCTGCACTACTAATGTCCACTATTTTAAGCAATGTAACAGCTTTTGCTGGTAATGAAGATTATTTGGCATCCGTAAGGTAATCATAACTTAGTTTGTGTTGAAAATCTGGAATCTTCTTATTTGTTCAGTTATTGAGGTAATTTCTGTTAGAGAAACATGGTAGTCATGGCATACCTTACAACTTTTAAAAGTCAACCTCTCAAATTTGTTTTAAAAAAGACATTTTACCCTTTATACTTGTGTGCAGAAAATGTTTCAGAGAATGGCTGGCCCACCTACATATCTTGCTGTTCACCAGAAAGAAATCCTGGAAAAAATGTCCCCTAAAGACAAATCTTTCAAACCACAATTCACACTTCACAGCCCATCGTACCCATAACTGCACGTACACAACCTAAACCCCATCATGATATACAAGTACATGTATCTCTTTCAGTTCATTCAATTTATAACAAAGTACCCAAACCCGCTTTGGACCACTTGTCATGCGTGACGGAACCACTTCCTCATATAAAAGACCTGATATTCTTTGGCTTTTTTCCCTAACTGCTTGTTGCACTTTTCCCATTTTTATGGGTCATTTTGAGGTTATTGGAGAGCAGTCATGTGTAGTTTGTGCTCTCTGTGATTAAGATCTGTAATGAAAAGGTCAGTGGGGTTTTTTTCCCCGCTTTTGGATTTTTTTGGTGAGGGAGCAAAAGCTATACTGTAATAATTTTGCCTTTGTAGAATATCATTGACTGATTCCATTTGTAGAGTCTAACAACTGCAGGGTAGGATATCTACACCTATATGCATGAGACCTAGGTTTGGCATGAAATGTTGGGTGGTACTCCACCCTTATAAGTTGTACCCCATCACGCACGGGATTTTTGCAATTTGCAGAGTGTAACGTAGGCTTGGGCCATTCCAAATTTATGGAATCAATGCTGAGTCACTATTTCATTAAGAGAAGTTATGTATTGAAAAAAAAAAGATAATTTACAACATATATGACATGTCAAGTGACATAAAAGATGTTTTGCAGTGTCTGGAATCTGTTCTGTTGTTACTTCTCGGAATCGATTCCTAAATGTGGAATCGTGATTCCGATTCCAACTTTAGAATCTATTCATAATTGATTCTGATCCGGAATCGCCCAAGCCTTGTGTAAAGGTATATTGATTTTAAAGTACATTGTACATGTAGCATGACTTGAAGTTGTGCAATAATTTTGTTCGTGATTTCTAGAACACCTTAAATTAAACAGCTTCCCTTTTGGCTCCCAAATGGCTGTGTACATGTACAATACATTGTAGGATTCAGTGGACCAATTAAACCGGTATTTGTTTTCAAAAGATGGTTTCCTGTTTGTTCATATGTGCTGCACTCTAGTGTCAAGTTGGCTGCATTCCAAGGCAAAACACTGCAATATTTTGATATCACTAATGTTGAACAATAAAAATGAAACTGGATGTTTTTGACCAAATGTTTGGTATGTTGATGTTATTTGTTAAGCAACCGGTCTTTTACCCGGTACATGGGTAATTGTCGTGTGTGGTATTTGTTTTCAGCTAAATGAGTCATCGCTTTGATGTAAAAAGTGCCCGACTTGTTTTGTTCCATTTTTGCATACCTCTGTGATTTTATGAAATGCTTAGTTGAGCATGGCACATTGTTGTCAGGTCAGTATCCCCGTCGTAATCCACATTTTTATAAAACACAGAATATTTTATGCAGTTGTAAGTGTAAATAAACCCTAAAAATACATTCCAGTGGGGTATTTTTAGTTATTTGCTTCCACCGGTGATGACTCGTGAAATCTGTGCTGGCGCCGCGGTGTCTGGGAAGGCACAGTGTGGAACCGTCACAGGTAAATACTACATTTCATGATCGAGGAGCACACTATAGATCGGGTCTTGTTCCCAAGCTATTCACACCTCCCCGCTATTTGCAGTGCAAGCCTAGCTACAAGCATCATTAAGATACCGGCACCAGACAGTCGTTGCTAAGGGCTCCATTTCGCCATGTTGACCCTTCAATTAAAACGTGTTGTAGGATCAAGCACTTCTTTATTTGTGCAGTTTAACAACCCTTCTGAGTGGGGTTGTGTGGTTCAGCTGAGGGTGCACACTTGGGTGTCTTTAGCATTCTTGAGGGGTGCTATATTGTATACTGACAAATGTTTGCCGAAATTACCCAAGACTTGAGCAAACACTACACGCCCCTAACACTACACGCCCCTAGAATTAAGTGTCATTGTTGAATATAGCGGTCTGTTTTACAAGCCGGCTTGCTTTTATGTCCATTGTGTTGCACGCCGAGTTGACACTTCTGCACACCTTACTTTAACTCTTGAAGAAATGTGACGTAAGTACAAGTTGGGGAATGTTCACTTATGGATCTGAAATGACTAACCCTGAACAGGAGTTAGTAATTTTATTTTTTGGGGAAAAAACTTTTAAGAAAATGTTAAAACCGACTAAAGTGGGACATTGGGTGTGGGAAAAAAAACTTGGAAACGAAAATCAAGTTACTTTTGAAACTATCAAAATTCTAGTTCATTTACTTCCACAATACATTAAAGTTACTCATTTCAAACAATTGCAAAGGGGTCTGCATGTTTGTACCCTTTACATAATCTCAGTTTATCTGAGGTTGGGTCTCATTTTCCTTTAAAAATAAAATCAGATTTGCACGAAGCCAAGGCCTCCTGTGCCCCATTGATTGCAAGGATTGACAAGGTCCAAGTGTGAGCCTTGACATTATTAATGCCAATGTGAAATTCGTCTGGTGCTTGTTTTCCTTTTAATACCAAAGTCCACAACTTTAATAGATTTTAATAGTCCAGTAGATGTGAAACCTAAACCCCTTGAGTGTTTTAACACGTCCCACGAGAGATGGTCCTGGCTTTTTCCCTTCCTTAATACCACTGAATACAATGTACCACAGTGCAACCTAATACCATACCACTGAACAAATCAGGGTAAACTAAAAATGTACATGTTTGTAAATGTACAGTGTGTGCATTTTCCAAACGGATGAATGAATTTATTAAAGGGAAGATACAACATTTGCAAACATCAAAAAACGAAATGTTCAAATGATCACGAAATACCTTACTGGATTGATAGAGAATGACAGTCTAAAGCATCCTGTAAAGTTGTGGCTCCTGGTGTGCTGACATTTTCAAGAAAAATTGTGTTTTTCCAACGCTGGTCGGCCGACCAGCATTGGAGAAAACTGGCTTTTTTTCAAAAAGTGCTCCTAAGTTTTCATATTTAGTTCGCCTGCATTTTCTTTGCAATAGATTACACACCTAGTGAAGAGGTACAATCCTGTTAGACTGATTCTCTGATCTTACAATTCCCCAAAGTCTATAAATTGCTCCATTTCATCTTAAGTAGGGTCAGGGAACCATACAACAACTAGCCTACAAGAATATGATTGGTTTTCTTGGTTTTTTAGCATCTACGAACCCAAAACGTGAAACAAGTCAGTGTAACAATATTTGCTATAACATAGTAATCCTCCAAATCCATTTATTTCTGAAAATTGCAGCAAAAGCAAATGTAGTTGCATTCCCTTTAAGTTTTGTACCTGCCCCATTTCAATTTTAGCAATGGTGATCTCAATGTTGCATTCATGTTATTTTGTTACTCTCTTGACATCTCTGCATCACATGGAAACCACCATCAGACAGGGTCTCGATTGTTCCAGTCAATAATCCACGAGGAAAAGAAAACTGATCCCTAGCAATTCAAGCAAAGAGAGCTCCAAATCGCTGAATAGAACGATTATCCCTTTCTGTTGACTTGGTGCTTCTTTTTATCAGGGTATCACACCTTAAGATTCAGGTCTTCCCTGCTTGCTCTGCCTTGGCTAGATCCTTCTATAGAAAGCCTGGGACTTCCTGTGCGATCCATTGTCCCCTATTGTAACGCCTTAGTAATATTCACTCATCCTGGACAGCATGAAGAGGCTTAACAGACGGGGTTCACAAAAGGGGATTAAAGATTTCTTTTTTGGTGGGTTCCTTCCTGTAAGCATTTATCACACGTCTTTAATCTGGGCCTAAAATACACGGTTGTATTTACCACACCTTTGGATGAACTAACATTCAAGACACGGTTGTATTTGCCACACCTTTAGATGAACTGACATTCATGTCCTAGGACTCATAATGGTAATTGTTCAACATTGGGCTTGTCGAGTTCCTTCAGACGAGGGGTTCTGATAAGTCTTCTGATTTCTGGATTTCTGGAATTGTCCATCAGGGAGGTCTCATTCATCTACGTTCCCCAAGAAATTTAAGCAAAGAAAACTATTCAAAATAATGTCATGATTAGTCATATGTTTAGGACTTATTAACTTCATTTTGACACCAGTTTACTGTTCAGTTAAAATTTGGGGTTGAGGATACAACCACATTCTGTCAAATTTGGCAATTTCGATTGATTGAGCATTTGCCGACAGTAAGACGAAATGCTTCAGTGTTAGTTTTGTTCTAAGTACCGGTAACTCTTTCAATAGAGAAAATTTATACGGGACTCCAGTTTTACTCAATAATTGCTCTCTTTTATTTCACAATATTACAAAACTGTATTTACAACAAATAAAGGAAAAAAAAACAATCATCAGATGCTCCTTACATCCTCAAAAACAGCATAAAATAAAACAATACCAAAAGCGGCTGTCCCATTATTCACAAAACATTTCCACAGCTTTGAACTTAAATGTTTTTCTTTTAAAAATACCAAAAAAGAAGAAGTATCTTTAAAGGAAGTATTCTCAACAGTGAATGAACTTACATGTAAGCGTATTAAAGTTGCAATGGAAGGCTGGCCATGCAATATAATTTCACTCAAAGAAAAGATCTTTACTGCTCTAGTGTCCGAATGCATGTTTGTTTTCCTTGTTAACTTACAGATTTCAATTAGTCCGTCCTATTTTCTTTTAACTACATGTACTGACCATCCTTATATTAAAATGGCTTGGTATAACATGCAAACACTGACTTGCCAGAAGTAGTTACCATGAGCTTTCACCAGACAGACACTTTTTGAGACTCATTTATTTCAAATATCGAAACTCTTGACAATAAATTAAAAATATCTCAAGAACATACAAAACCAAAAGTTGCAAATGTTCAGAAAATGCATGTGCTTCAAATTCACGCTTAAAGTACAGATACACAAGTAGGCCTAATCTTCAGGCAGCCTTTTTTGTTTTCCATCTCATGACTTGGCCTGTCCTTTTCTCAAATGGATCAAAACACCACTGAAGGATTATAAAAGACTTCAAATTTGAAAATATTATGCAGGGTTACATAAGAATATGACGAAATTATTCTTTTTAAATTCTGGTAATTTTCCACTGCCTTCGGTATCAAGATATTAATGTTGATACTGTTATCACCAATATCAGGCAAAGATGCAGGCTGCATTGCGAAATCTCATGGACGTAAATGCACTAAAGCCATTCTGCTAAAAATGCTTCTAGAGGGAACTAAATTTAAAACATTTGAAACGGGCATGAACCGCAACGAAATAAAAATGGCATTAAATTGGGTTTTATTTCCACTTGCACAAAGATTGCCAAAAACAAAAACCCGTTCATGCAACAATTAAAATGACACAAAATCAAAGGCCAATTTCGCGGAGCTGCTAAGCACACAAATATGCTAAGCTTAGAAAGGAATTTGTTTAGCAAAAACAGCCTACCAGCCAAAATGTCATTAAAAGTGTATCGGTTCTGACTGGTAATCCGCTGATTTTGTGCTTACCACATAAATTTGCTAAAGTTATTAATGCTATGTATAGTAAAACTTTTGCAGCAAGTGAAATACAACGCTTCAACTTTTTTTTGTCTTAGTCAATTTGTTTTCAATCTGTGTGGCTTCATGGCTAGATGTGAATTTCAAAAAGCCTAAATACACCAAAGGAGGATGATTTTTCTTGGATGTGTATGTCATGAATATTCCTATGCTGTGTTTTTAAATAAACTTTAATATGTTCTGGAAAAAACAGTACTTTATGCGCTTGTTACAATAAATTAAAATGGGAATACAATATATACGTTTTGCTTGATAATTATGATACACGCTCTGAGAACTATGTTAATTAGGCAACATGGCATATGTATGGAAAACGTAAACCGTGCTTGCCATTGCTTTAGTGACTGTTCAACGTTCACTGCAGTTTTTTTGCTAGTTAACTCCAAACCCTGCAAACATGTATGTATCTGTTCCTGAGGATAAGCAACTATTTGCATCAAACTGGCACCAGTTCCGGATAGAATCAAGGATGCAGCCAACTGACAACAAGAAGACAGGAGTTTCCCAAAAACTATTGCAAGCATACCTCCATCTTCACATTATAAGTCCTGAAGATTAGGATTTTGTGTGTGAATTTTTAAACGGAAATTCACAGTCTGCAAGCTTTCTTGTCTCACGAAGGACTTGACAGTCCAAAACAAGTGGGGGGAAAGACAACGGCTACAGGGAGAATGAGCAGATTTCCTCAGACGATACAACACAGTTTCTTCCAGATGGAGGATTTGGGTTTGGATGGTAGCGGCTTTTCTTTCTTGGTTTTGGTGGACTTTTTCTTGGACCCCTTGGATTTGGAGCTCCCTTTGCCCTTGGGGGGTCCCGTGAACTGCAGGGCGGTCAGGATAACAGTGTCAAAGACATCCTTGAGATTGTGCTGTGTCAAGGCCGAGCATTCCACGTAGCTGACGGCGTTGATTCGCTGGGCTCTGTAAACAGCCTCCTCCTCTGTGATGGGCCTCTCGTGGTACTTGGCCAGATCGATTAGAACGTTGACGTCAGTCCGTAGGTCACACTGCGTGCCCACAAGGATGATGGGGGTCTTGGGGTTGTGTCGTCGTACCTCCGGCAGCCACTTCTCCAAAGTGTTGTGGAAGGACGTGGGCGAGACCACGCTGAAGCACAGCAGAAACACGTCTGTCTGCGGGTAGCACAGCGGGCGTAGTGAATCAAAATCATCCTAAATAAAGAAAGACAAAAAAGAGGACATTTTTCCTTTAATATGGTACTCAAGTATGAAACAAAATTTAGGTTGCAAACATATCATGAGACAAGCCAATTGGTATGTCAAGGTGGGTGTATGCATTCCCTCTAGATGAACTTGATCCTCAACATCTTGTTTACAACTTGTAGGACCACAGGGTTAAGAAGAATATATTACAGTAGACAGCCATTTACTGGCAGTACTGATATGCATGCATGTAATTCCAGGTCTAAATCCAGTCTTGGCAAAACTCCAAAAATGCAGACACGCCTCTTTCCAAATGCCCCAGCTGGAAAGTACATGTACATACATGTACATTTGTAGGACTGTGTAGAAAACTTCTTGGGATAGCCAACTGCAAAATTTGTTTGGACAATTGTTGTGGAGGATGTAATCTCTCAATGTTGTTTTCATTTGGGGGAACTTTTCGTTACAGGGTATTATCTTCTAGTTGCTCCTTGTTTGTGTAATCCACAGCATGGCCACAATGGAGCCCAAAAAATATGACCTCATGCTGGGAAAATCGGTACAACTTAGTAAAATATGCATGGGAAGAAGTAAATTTTTCAATCTACAGTCAAAAACGGACTTCACTGAGGAATGCACTATGTCTACTCTGAATTTTTCTGTGATTATTTTCCGTTGAAATGTTTACACTTTTGTGTGACATGCCTCAAAAGGAATGTGTACACGAACACAAACAGGTCTTTTCTCAGTCAGCGAATGTCAGACAAGTTTTGAAAACAACAAGTACGTATAAGCCTACTTAACATAAAAAAAATGGAAATTAGCAGGATTTTGCTCACAATTTTTGCAAACCTCCCTAAAATACATAATATACAGTGTCCATGTACATGTAAAAGAGGGAGCAAGGGTTTGTCCTGGCTAAGGTCAACATGTCTGGTTAGCTCATTACAGCAGCTAACCTCAACTGTGTACACACAGCAGGGACCAACCACATCTTGTTGCAACAAGATTTGCAGTTTGTATCTCCCTTGGGAGTCCAAGCTTAGTTAGAGAGACCTTTGGATTCCTCTAGGGCATTACTAACTGGTGGAGGCTGTTCTCAGTACAACTACAAGTGGAATTCAGGTTTTCAGGTGAAGTAAGTAATTGGGACAGAAACACTTTAAAGCCAGTGTCACAACACGAGGTGTTTATACAACAACCTGTACTGTACGTACTAGGGCCTATGTGTTAAGTACATCAGTGTATGCTGCAACAAACATATTGCACATATTTCTAGCTGTGCAATACAGCATGACACTGAATAATGGTAAATACATGTAGACCTTGAAGTATGTACATGTACATGTACTACGGGCCAACACATCTGTATTTTGAGTGAGTTGAGGGGTATCATCTAAAGTAGAGTGTGACTGTTAATTAGGTATACCCGTCATCAATGTCTGTATAAAAAAAAAAAGTGACAAGCAACCAGGGCTAAAGGTCGATTGAAATGGTTTTCTGCAAGTCTGCTGTAATCGATCATACCGTACCAATGCCAAAAAGGTCTAAAGTCCCATTTCTGCTTCCAAAGGGAGCATTCTACATGTACTTCATCCCACAATACCACTTGGCAAGCGAAGTAGGTGAGGCCCCACAAAGATGCCTTAAAGTAAACCGGGGTGATTGAGTGATTCTGGAATGACAATAGAGGCAGGAAAGGGCCCATCAACCTAACACAAGAATGGTTACATCAGTAGATGGATCCCCAGTGGGATTAAACGAACAAGCAAGGAAGTGAAAGTGAAGGGTTTTGGGGAGGACGACTAAGCACACTATGCAGGATCAAGTGAATACTAATAGGCCTACATTCCACTACAACAAAACTAGATTTACTTTCATAACATGGTTTCGTCATACCTTCACATGTATCTGTGAACCTCTGCTAAAAAATCAGGCCAGCTACAGACAGTCTTTTCTATGAACCACACATGTGTGACTCTCTTTTCAACCCGAACCCTCCCACACACTCTGAATTCACCAGAAGGTTGTGGAGGAGTTCAGTGGGTATCACTCAGAATTTTAAGAAAAGCCAGCCGATGTCACAAAGAGTTTTGATTTCTTAGAGAATAGTACTCCAAGGGAATAATTGGAATTGGCCAATTTGAAGAAATATTTTCAACAGGTTACAATATAGGCCTATTAAAACATGCATTATATTGAAATAGGAAATAAGATTTGTTTTTCCCCCAATGCATTTGCTGAAGCTAGTCATCTTCAACTTTTCTCCGATGTCTGTAATCTTCCCCTCCTTCACAATAATCTACTTCTAATTTGGCAATAATCTACTTCTAATTTTCCATTTGGCAACCTCTAGAATGAACCTACTTTTGGGGTCTCTGCCCTCTGCTCTCTTTTTATAAGACTCTTGATTATATCAAGGCGAGGCTTAACGCCGTACCTATTGATTTTGACAATAGGACGCAGCACGCTTTGGCAGTTTGGTTCAGACCGAAGCAACTCCCACAAAAGAATCGGCTGTGAATCCCCTACAGACCCAATGAATGAAGCCTAGCATCTCGCTATTGTGCTGCTTTGCACCATTATGTCTGACCATTTTGCCTTCGGGCAATACTTTCAATGTCTTTTCTTTGGCCTGTTCTATTTGAAGTCCCGCAGGATTAAAAAAAAAAAAAAAGTACCAAAAAAAGAATGAAAGTGCTGCACAGGAAATAATGATTGTCTATCAATAAGGCTTAAGTACAAAATAAGCTTATGCAGACAATTGTTCGTAATGCTTTCCCTTTTCCCTCAGGTGAAGATGAAACAAAAAGTGCCAAATCTGAGACAGGTACATGTACACACATGTACATCTAACCGGGTATTATTTTTACCCCTGCCTCCTGTTTTGTACTGAGCAATACTAAAATGCTTAACATGCATTCTTCACGTCAGGTCAGCCTCGAGACATCTCCACCAAAAACTGGATTGATGCGGTAACGGTTTCACTTCTGAATCAAAGCAGACTGAGTTACATATCTCAAATGGACAATTTATGGCTTGCGGGTAATTTCGCGCCGGAGATCCGTCCCGTCCATTTATGATGAATTACTAGTGAAGTCGGTAGGGGACAGAGGTGAAGATCCACTGTGACTTCTACACCATAAATGATGTATGACCGAACCATATTTTCTGTGAACTACAAGTACATGTATCTGTGCTACACCAAACTATAAATTCTAGCATGCAACCAATGTGTGTACTAGTATCACTTCATTCAAGCAATAGGCCAAAGTTCATTCCCCACCCAATTTACAACGATTAATATCCAATCACCCCACAAGTGGAATTTGGCACAAGCCAAGTGTCGCAGTGATTATCTGTTGAATTTGCCAATGATTTATGTGGCACAAACAGTCGCATGTATGCAGGGTCTGGTCCAGGCTGTATGTTTAATTAGCGCGTTTCATGATACTTGAAGGTTTGCATGGTGAAGTAACTTCAAGTCAGGAACAATGAACTTGCTGTTGCGACACATGGGGGGAAAAAATGGGGGAAACTCAACGTTTCAGACGGACATTATGCTCTGCCCAGTTTGAATCTGTTAAAATGCTGCTGTATACAGGCATGCAACTGGGAAATCACAAAAAAAGAGGAAATTCACATTTTCCCCAGACTTTGTACAGTGTTTTTCTATTTTCAATGGCACACATGGGAAGTAAAAAAAAGAGGAAATCAGCTGAACCGAGGAAAAGTTGCATGCCTGTGTATAGACCTTTATCATGCTGCCACCATTTCAGTCATATTCCCTGTATCCAATAACAGTACTGAATGCTAATGATATTGTGCAAAAAGGAACCAGACTATTTTTCCTTCCAGCCTCGCTTTGGTTTCACTGATCTGAATGGGAAAAAAATCAAATGGCTGCAACATGATAATGGTCTATTGAAGTAACCCGAGACCCGTAAACTTGTAAGTCAAAGCAATATAGAGAATGGGAAATGTTCTGAAAGAGCTTTCGTGTTCGAACTCTCTACAAAGTTTACCCAGGACAGGAAAAAAAATGTTACTTATCGCTGTAATCGTTGGATTACGGATTATAGGGTGGATCACAGGCATTATCGGCAGGTAATATCCATGTTTTATCATTCTGGGGGAAGGGTTAACACCGCAAAAGCAAATTTGAGAGAGTCATCGGATATCTATTATCAATGCGATTATAATAAAGCCTGTTTGAACTTGCGCCACATTTCTCAAATTGCTCAACTTTGCCAGACTGAAGAGCGAAAGTGTCTTCAGGTTTAAGAGACAAAATGACCTTGACTTTTAAAGTAAGGCACACTAGGAATGCAGCGAGATACTTACTTGACCAGCTGTGTCGCATATCTGTATCTTGATGGGCTTTCGATCCACTCTTACCACAACTGCGATATAAGGCAGAAAGAATGCACATTATTTATCGTTTTTTCCAAAGTATTAAACTTAATTACATGTATTAATGAATATTGAACTTCCAAACCATTCAATCATTTTGTGCCTTTTTGTCTTTGAAGCAACAAGATTGTTCAAAATCGTAAGTGGAATGCATTTACAAAGTTGTATGTGACGCATTGCAGTTTCAGCTCGGTGTTCATTTTGAGAAAACTGAGAAAACTTTTGCACAACTTGTTTATTTCTCTGCTGCTAGCACACTACAAGTGGCACCGTATGTTAAAACAACCTCCAATGTTTGTTTTCTTCTAATAACCACACCATTTCAGGTGGAATAATTACACAGGGTATTTGATATCAGACCTATATTCGCTTTGAGCAAAGTTTCTGTTATTAAATTTGTAGGTGCTTTTCCAATTACACTTTCAAATGATCCTACATGTATGTAGCCTTAATTGTGCAGCCAGTATACTTGATACACAGAAACACATGTCGTGTACATATTCCCCATTGCTTTATCAAATTCCCAACATTGTTGCCGTGATATATTCAGGACTTATTCCACACCTTTCTGCAATACAGCCCACACACTATTAGTAAGCAGCAGCAACCCGCTGTACTATGAGTATGACTCAAGGGCCCCAACTCTATAGAATTTCAAATGTCAACAATACACATTGGAGGGGCCCACCAATGGGCTGCTATGAATAACAAACATGGGCCTTGTTGTAGGTACTGCAAAGTGCAAGCAATATGAACCAGCAACATGTAGACATGTACATGTACTGGCGCCATACAAACTCATCAGTAGGCATACATTCATTTATAGCCCTTAAGGCCCTATGGACTTTTCGGTGTTTTCCAATTTACCATAGTTTGACAATTTGGCAAGTCAATCCATGAGCATAGAAAAATGCTCTCTTTTGGTATTAGATGAACGTGGGCGAGTTTTCCTTAAAAATACTCAAATTTGTAAAATATCAGGGTTGTACAATTGTGTTGTACATGAAATTGTACTGGAAGGTTGTACATTTACTGATGGTAACGAATCTTATCCACCACTACAGCATAAACCACTAACTTATTAGTATTATAAAATGTAGGTACAATTCAAATCCCAAATGGGACTTTGAGTTGGAAAACAAAACATGGTTGTTGGCCATGGGACATCCATTGTTAACCAATCTTTCAGATTTCTTCTTTCAGAGTTTTGAAGATGACTCAATGTAAACAGTGCTCTTTCAAAACAGAACAAAACCACAATTCAACCTGGATTACAACAGGTGATTCAGTGCCAGTTGCATTGGTTCAGAATTCATGGGAAACCCTCTTTGAATGGCGCACACAATGTGAGTCACAATTCCCTTGAACCACCTACACCACATCAAAGGGTGACTGACAATCTTTTCTTTTCTTAGCTTTAACTGCTGCCTTCATTATGAAGTTAGTGGTAATGAGCCCGCTGATGCATAGGGGATTATCAGTCGTGGTTTGGGAGACAGGATATCCTTCTTGATGAGAACCACACAGTGGGAGATGTTTCATAATCAGTAGAGAGGTCATTCACTCCAAAAATGAGAAAGTTCCCATATTCTATGGGCAATTTTAAGTACTGTACAGACTACAGAAAGATTTCCATATTCACTCAACACCCCGTGTACAAACCCTATGAGATTGGACTGAAAAATTCTAAGTATTTTCTAAGAAAATGCTTGTATTTTCTCACTGCTCAAATTGACTTTGATGACATGAAATTGCTATCTGGGGGCTTGTTAGTCAATACAGAGGAAAATTAGTGAACTTCGCATATGGTAATCTTGCCCAGACGACATATTATTTTGAAGTTACAGAACATTAATTTTGTTTTGAATAATGAATTCTCCACAGTTAAATAATTGAGAGTGTTGTATACTTTTTGTAGGATAGTATTTTGAGCTTCACCTTTTTTGGCAATTTGTACTGAATTGCATTTGTCTCAAACTCAATCTAGTGTTAATTGATGAAGGCGTTACATGATTTATATACGTGTACTTACCATTTGGTTTAAAACTATGAAATAAGCAGGATGCAGTTTTAAAAACTTGCTTGTGTAAGGAATATTTGACTAAAAGTAGCTGGACAAACACCAATTAACTAACATTTATATAATTTCTGGGAGGTTAAAAAAATGAAGTCTGAACACAAACATGATAAACTGTATAGGGCCTAAACTAATGCCTACATACATACATTCTCAAAAAGATACAAGTCAATAAAAATTAAAACGTTTACAAAAGACATCTAAAATACACCGCACCCCAAGTGTCAAAAAACATAAATTGCAGAGGTGTTAAGCCAAAAAAAAGTTGAATATCTAAAAAAAAAAATTAGGCTATCTCACCTGAATAATTATCAAATGCTGTTGGAACATATTGCAAGGGGTATCCATTTGTTGTATAGCTGACCACTAGACTAGTCTTGCCCACTGCTCCATCACCAATTAAAACACACTTGACTTTGGTATCAATGTCTTCCTCGTTCGCCGAATCGGTTCTAAAAATGTTGGAAGTTGTCGGGGCCCGCGCCGTCTTTGGCGGGGAACCCATGCCGACCGTCACGGCGGGCGAGTGTTGGTGGTCCCGGTGGTGATGATGATGGTGATGATGGGCGGTAGGGGATTGAGCCTGGGGAGGCATGATTGCACTAGACGCGGTCGGATTGTAGGGTTGGAAGGTCTCCAGATCGCGGTACTCTTTGGTGAAACCCGTGAGTACCATTTGCAGGATCCAGAATATCTCGCCAGAAGAGTTTCCAAAAACAAGTAGGCCTACTCGAACGGCTTCCGGCTTAGCTTCCACGAAGTTCCAGCTGCTGAAGTGACGATGATGGAGGAATTTCACTACATCCGCTCCATTCGTGTGACGACCAAAATCGAGGCGTAAAGCATCCTTGAGGAGTTTGGCATATTCTTGGGAGCTTCAGACTGCGCCACTGAAATATTTCCACATCAGAAATGGCAACATTCGGTAAAATATCCCTTCGGAAAATTGTAGGGCCGTCTTTGCTTTTACCAGAGTGATCGCACGTGCTAAGCCTGCATTCGGTTCTATCCGAGTGTTATCGCAACGGCGATTTCAAATTGTATTTATACGGATATGTACAGTATGCATAGAGTACGAACGTACACGTACGTACACAGCTGGCCTACATGCACATGCTGCATGCAGTGACGTGCCTACTGTACTTGCCGCTGAGCTTATAATACGTCATCGATCAGCCACCGTGTACCATACTGCGCTTGCGCGTAATCGAGTCGGACCTGTGGTCGAACCTTTATTCAGTTGATTTATTTTTACGAGGGGGAGAAAATTCCCGCGTTTTCGAGATAAAATATCATGCAATGAAAGAAACTTAAATACCTGAGATATCTGCCTTGATTCTAAAACGCAGGTTGTTTGACGTTTTTCCCACTAGAGTTATGGCCTCTGTTCCTAGCTCCATGGGATCTAAACTCATTGGTAAAAATTGTCTGTATATCAAAATAATGAGCGCCATCTATTGACTTTTTGCGACAGACAGGATTATGCATGATCTCTTTTCCGTTCGAGATAATTGTAGCTGAAACATAAGTTTTCTAATCTAAATTCAAAATGTATTATGGGTGCATGTTATTCGTCATTTAGAGAACTGAGTGTAGTTATTGAGGTTTTGATAGGCATAGCCTAGCTTATCTCAATACGTATTCCGGAAGTATTTCAGAAATACATAGCCAAGGATTATACACCAAAATAACGGTGCGTGTGTTTTATTGTTTGATATTATACTATTTGACCATTGGTCTGAAGAATGGTTGAAATTTGAAGAAAGAACTAATAGAGATTATTCCGGCTATGAAACCTAGCTACTACACTGTAAAAAAAAAATTGAGGAAAATGGGTTGATAATTCGACCAATGCTGGTCGAATTATTAACTGCCTACACTCTTGCAATGGGCCAAATCTTCCCAATAGTTTGACAGTTTTTACCCAATTCAACCCAATACGAGGTGATTTCATACCAATGCTGTGTAAATTACATTGCCCAACAGTGTGTTATCCAACCTTTTTACAGTGTATGTATGGTTTGTTTATCTTTCACGTTTGTCATTTGATGGAATGAACGCAAGGTAGCCTAAGTTAAGGGAAATGTTTCTTGATCGTAAATTCATTTGAATATAGTGGTCTGCCCTATGGGTTATTTACACCATCCGTTATTTATTGATTTTATTTCTGGGACAGGATTAAAAATGACCTGGAGTACTTTCTTGACGACCATAAAAACTAAACAGTTGACACGTTGAATCGAAAATCAATAAATCAAACCCATCTGCTGAGTATGTCATTACTCTCGAGTCCTCTTCGTCATCATGGCTAAAGTACGACTTTGCAACCAAAATTGTTGTCAAACGCTATAGGGGGTCGAACTTGAAAATAGTGTTATGATCCTGTGTCGTTATATAGATGATCGTGCAGAAAGGAAATACATTTTCCAGAGGCTATTCACAGAAAAATAACATTTGAGCTAGGGAATACAAACCATGATCGCAACATTTCATGAATTATTGACAGCGTGTAGCTCAGTATGCTGTTATACCGGTACCGGGTCGAAACAATGTATTGATAGTCTATGATAGAGGATGAGCGTAGGCTACTAAGACCAGAGAGACCTTTTACCGGCTTTGGACTTTTGTGTGAGACCCAAAATAGGAAGCTTTCTATAAGATTACCACCGGATTAGAGTCGTGGGTCGATAATGCTAATCGCCCCATACACACAAAAACCAGCCTGCATTATAAAACCATAAGCCTGATAATACGCTGTGCCTTTGCCAGATGACTTCAATTCCTTCTCTTTCGTGGAGATCCTCATGGTTCTAATCTCCTGTTGGGTTTTGTCCACGGGATCTCCGTCCGAGGTTGAGCCTGGGTAGGTGGTCCCTCCGAAAAAGAAAAAAAAACGACGAGCGTTGTCGGCTTATTTGGGCCGCAGGACAGTGATATGATTAATATAAAAGGCAAAGATAACGTTAAATATATTCTCATGCACTTCGCCAAGTATCACGGTATACTCACTACTCTCCAAGGGTGTTTAAAATATAAAATATAAAATAACATGCATCCAATTAAAGTTCATGATTTCTTATCATCTCACTCTTGTGTCCAAGTTGTTAAAGGTTATAAATTCCCCCGACTTTGGGGTTGTATTTTCTTCTGAAAGATAAATTACCCCCGTTACGCGAAGCGACGAACTTCATCGCCATTTTAAAACTGATCCTCTTATCTTCATTGCAAATTTGAGCAAAGACCAGGTCCGATTCAGTTACATTCATTCAAATTTCCCGGATTTTGTTTTATTATTATTGTTTTTAACAAACCCTTATGCGAAAACCCCAAAATTACAAAATTGGCTTACTAAAATTTAAGTGCATGTAAAACGTTGCGTGTAGAGGTTATTTTTGGGCTTATTTTGCTTTCCAAAACGTTCAGGCTAAATGTTTGATCTAATAATATGGGTTGCAAAGTAGATACCACCGACTCATTACAAGCGTTGGATAGTATTATATTATGGCTCGACACACGATGCCACGATAAATGGGGAAATTCAATTTGGTCAACAGAGGGCAGCAGCATTCTTCAACAGGCGTGACTTTGGGCGTGATGGTCGACCAATAAAGCATCAGAGATGCTGCTCTATGGTTGCAGACCAGTAAATAAACTTCTATAGACCCCAATGGTAAATGCTCCCACTTCAGAAATTCGGGGAAAATACTCACAACTCTCCAAGGTGTTCGAGACACACGTCAAATTAAAGTTTATTTCATCATCTTTTCTTTTCTTTTTAATTTTCGGGGGGTCAACTGATGACTTTTAGGAGAAATTTCCATCCGAAGATGATCACCCCTGAAAATAGTCCTGAAGCCCATCGCCATTATGAAAAACGATGCCTATACACTCCATTGCAAAATAGAGCGCTTTAAGGGCCCCAGTTTCATCCAAATTGAACGGAACTACAAGCTCACAGTCCTGTTCACGGCTTCCAACCATATTTTCTTTTTTACAAACCCTCCAGTTCATGGCCCACAGCATGCTCAAATACTGAAGATTTTCAGGGCATATGCAAATCATGATTTGGCCGGCGTAGGCAATTTCGGACCGATTTACTGGTCTGCAACCCTATAGTAAAATGACACTTCGGGGTCAAAATGACACTTTTCTTGATCCTTTATAGGTCCTTGACCTGTTTACCCACTTCTGTCGTTCTCCCCTCTCTCCTCCTTAGGAGGGGAGAGAAGAAAGTGACAGGATCCTGGACCCGGTTCCAGGCGCGACATAGGCATAAGCTATCCAGCCCGAGCTACCTCGATTCTCCAAGGTGCAAGTTTCCTTCTCAGGCTTGATAACCGTGATTTTATCAAGCCTGCCCTCATGATGGAAACCCCAAAACAGGGAGTTGATCCTCGGGTTTATTTACACAATTTCACCGTTTTTAAAGCCAGACGGTCTCGTTTTCAAAAGAGGTTGGGGGGGGGGGAGGGGGTGTTAGAAATTCTCAATATGTAATTCAGTGCACCCATAAAGAAAAGGGCGCCCGCTATGGCGTGTCAAACTTTGCAATATTCAATATTTTGCAATATATATGTTGGATGTTCAGTATGCGTTTGTTATCTTTTATATTTATGTGCGATGTTCAATATAAGTGTGCGATGTTTTTTCATTATTTGCGCGATGTTTAATATATTTGTGCGATGTTTTACAATATATGCGCGATGTTCAATATATGTGTGCGATGTTTTACATTTATATGCGATTTTCAATTTATATGTGCGATGTTTTTGACGATATATATATATGTGCGATGTTTTCAATATTATGTTCGATTTTTTGCATTAAATGTGCGATGTTTTTCGATACAATTGTGTGTGTTGTTTTACAATATATCTGCGATATTCTCAAATATGTGAGCAATGTTTTACACATATGTTTGACATTTCGAGCTATTTGTATTCGATGTTTCATCGGTATGTTTGCATTCGATCTTTTGCAATATGCATTAAATGCATATTGCAAAAATGCATATTGCAAAAGATTATAAGCATTATATGCTTGATGTTTCCCTTGTCATTCGATGTTTCGTTAAGTGTCAAAGTCTGGTTACTAGACCGCGAAAGTCTGACTATTTTGCCTAAAGTCAGTGTATGAGACGTCAGGGGATCGCGTAAAGTGATTAGAGCCAGACCTAAACGGTAAAAACCGGAATTGTGGGTAATTCTTTAAGCATACGCAATGCGTTCATCATTGTTTAGACAGTACCCCCAGCTGTGCCTGTACTACCCATAGTGTTATGTGCATCATCGATGCATTGAGGAGTGCATGACACATGGTCTGAGCTCAGTCCAAGGCCGATGTGCACCTGTCCCGTTTAATGATCCAGTTACCTGATAATTTGTTAGCATAATTAAGCTGATGTAAAATTGGGCAAAATTAGATGTTTATGAAAAAAAATCAAATTGTAAGGGGTTAACCTTGCATTTTTTTTAGCAAAATCGGGAAAAATAAGATGTTTCTGGAAAATTGCAGATTGTATGGGGTTAGATGTTTATGAAACATTTCAAATTGTAAGGGGTGAACATTGCATATTTTAGCGAAATTGGGCAAAATCAGATGTTTCCGAAAAATTTCAGATGTAAGGTATTAACCTTGCATTTTTAGTTAAATTTTGCAAAGTTAGATGTTACGAAAAATTTCAAATTGAAAGGGGTTAACCTCGCATTTTTTAAAGCGAAAATGGGAAAAAATCAAATGTTTCTGGAAAATTGCAGATTGTAAGGGGTTAACATTGAATTTTGAATAAGATTGGGAAAAATTAGATGTTCATGAAAAAAATTCAAATTGTAAGGGGTTAACCTTGCATTTCTTTTAAGCAAAATAGGACACAATCAGATGATTCTGGAAAATTGCAGATTGTTAGGGCTTAACCTTGTATTTCTTGCAAAATTGGGCAAAAAGAAATGTTTATGAAAAATTTTAAATTGTAAGAGGTGTACCTTGTATATTTAGTAAAATTTGGCAAAATCAGATTTGTATGAAAAATCTAAAATGGTAAAGGGTTAATCTTGCTTTTTTAGCAAAATTTGGAGCATATTTTACTAAAATTTGGCAAAATCAGATGCTTCTAAAAAATCCAGAAGTAAAGTTTC